ATGCTTTGGGTGGGAAGGGCCCTTAAAGCCCATCCAGTTCTCAGGTTCCCCACGGTGGGGATGACCCCGAGCCAGCCCGATGGTCAAAGAAGAGTGGGAATTCTATGTTTGTGGTTCTCAAGGTTGTTTATTGTTGCTTATCCAAGATGTTTTTTTTTCTCCAACACGCCACAGGCCTGTCTGGCAGGTCGGTCTGAGGCACTCTCCCCACCTCCCGGGTCGGTGCTATCTTTTATACTAAAAACTACGTGTACTATGTTTACAGTTATGTTCCAATACCCATCACCTGTGTTAGACAGTGAGTTTCTACTCTACACCAATCTGAGAGTGCCAACATCCTCCTGAACATGGATGCCAGGGAGAAGAAAGGAGGACAGGGCACATTCAAATCCCTCCATCTCGAACCCCCTGACCCCCATGGACAGAATCCCAAACCCCCCTGTACATGGTTCCAAAATTTTCCCTTCACCCCGTGCTTACTACTAGCATGCTACTTAAACTTTTATGACCTGTGACTCTTCATACAAGGTTGGTAATTTCTCCCAGGGGCTAAGATCGAATTCCCAAGTGTTTTTGGCCTTCTGCCAGGGCTCATCAGCCCCCTGCCAGGGGCTCAAGCCATCCCGGTCACCCAGAGGGATGTTCTGGGTTCCGACACAGTCCCACCCCCTTCCACTGTCCCAGGGGCTCCAAGCCCCGAAATCCAGCCTGGTCTCGGACACTGCCGGGGATCCAGGGGCAGCCACAGCTTCTCTGGGCATCCTGTGCCAGGGCCTGCCCACTCCCAAAAGCCAGCAGAGCCGATTGTTTACCGGGAAGTGGGAAGGCGAGCAGGATAAAATCATAAAGTTTATTTTACCGACGGTAACGGGACCAAAGCGCACGCGGCGGTCGCTCAGCGGCGGCTCCAGCGCCTCACAGAGGCAGCGAGGCCACCCCAACGCGCCCCGACGGGCCGGGGTGCGCCCCGCTCCTGCCTCACTCCCGGCCCGAACCGGCAACCCCAGCAGGTCATGGACGCTACCCGACCAAGAGCTCCCCGCCACCGCAAGCTCTCCAAGGGGCGGAGAGGCGGCGGCCGCCCGGCTCGGTGGGGTCGCCGCTCAGCCGCCACCGCTCCGCAGCGGGGCCGCCGCTCAGCCTCCCTCCAACATGGCCGGCCCTCCGCCTCCCCGCAGCGGCGCCGCCGCCGCATCGCCACAGCTTCCCCTCAGCAGCACCGCGGGCGCACCATCACCGCTTCCATTCAGCGGCACCACAGCCGCACCGCCACCGCCTGCCCTCAGCAGCGCCGCCCCTCAGCCTCCCCCCAACATGGCCCCCTCCCCGCCTCCCCTCAGCATCGGCACCGCCCCTCAGCCTCCCCGCGACATGGCCCCCTCCCCGCCTCCCCTCAGCATCGGCACCGCCCCTCAGCCTCCCCGCGACATGGCCCCCTCCCCGCCTCCCCTCAGCATCGGCACCGCCCCTCAGCCTCCCCGCGACATGGCCCCCTCCCCGCCTCCCCTCAGCATCGGCACCGCCCCTCAGCCTCCCCGCGACATGGCCCCCTCCCCGCCTCCCCTCAGCATCGGCACCGCCCCTCAGCCTCCCCGCGACATGGCCCCCTCCCCGCCTCCCCTCAGCATCGGCACCGCCCCTCAGCCTCCCTTCGTCATGGCGGTTCCTTCACCGCCTCCCCTCAGCATCGGCGCCGCCCCTCAGCTTCCCCCGCGGGCTCTTCCCGCCCGGCGCAGCCGCAGAGCAGCAGCCCGGGCGCGGAGCGGGCGGGAAGGGCGGTCGGGCGTTGGTGGCGGTCCCGGCGGGGCGGGATGGCGCTGCCGCAGCAGTGCGAGGCCGCGTTCGGTACCGCGGACCTGTACGGTGTGCTGGGCGTGCGGCGCGGCGCGTCCGCGCAGGACATCCGCCGCGGCTACCACCGCGCCTCGCTGCGCCTGCACCCCGACCGCGTCCCGGCCGAGCAGAAGGAGGAGGCCACGCGCCGCTTCCAGGTGAGGAGAGAAGAAGCGAGAACGGGAGGAGGGAAGGAGAGACACAGGCAGGGAGGGGGGCTGTGGCGGCCACCAGTGAGACCGACCCACCACTCCACAAGGGACTGGCCCCCTGATCCCCTGTCCCCCGAGTGACTGAAGCCCGGGCAGCCGACCCTGGGTGCCCACCCCAGTGCTCCCCGCGTGACTGACCCCCAAGTGACCGATCCCCAAGTGACATCCCGGCCACTCCCGCAGATCCTGGGCAAGGTGTACGCCGTGCTGAGCGATGAGAAGCAGCGCGCAGTGTACGATGAGACGGGCATGGTGGATGAGGACGCCGAGGCGCTGCAGGACGGGCGGGACTGGCTGGAGTATTGGCAGCTGCTATTCAAGGTGAGAGCGAGATGGGGCTGGGAGACAGAAGAACTTTTTGGTTTTTATGTGTTTTCTCTTAAATCCTCCTGGTGAGTAAGTCCTGTAACTCTCACAAAGCATCACCTCTTTGCTCCAGGTCACCGTGAAAGACATCGAAGAGTTCAAGAGTACGTACAAAAACTCGGAGGAAGAGCTGGCTGATGTGAAGGCGGCGTACCTGAATTTCAAGGGTGACATGGATCGGATCATGGAGTCTGTGCTGTGTGTGGACTACACGGATGAGCCCAGGATCCGGGAAATGATCGAGCGAGCCATCGAGTCTGGGGAGGTCCCATCCTACAAGGCTTTTGTGAAGGAGTCAAAGCAGAAGACTGTGTCCAGAAGAAAGCGGGTAGGTTGCAGCAATTAATTACCAGAACTTTTTCCCTTGTCAGGAATAAGTGATGCTGTTTCCAAGATGTTTGGCAGAGGATTGCTGGGTTACACACCTTCGTGTTCACATCTGGTCACCTGTGGTCATCACCCCCCAACTCAAATAACTGTGAAAGTCTTTTCTAGTTCTTTATTTCCTTATCATACACAATGGCTTATTACAGTTTAGCGTGTCCCTGCATTTATCTACAAAGCTGGGAGTTGCTGGAGTTAACAAAAACAAGCAAGCGGTGAAAACATTTTGGTTGGCTTCTGCCAGGTGTGAAACTGCTCTGGCCTAAATGGACTCTTAGATACTTTTGGACACTTTGTAGAATGTTATATGCAAATCACAGTAACCTTTAAGTTATTGTACTATCTACCAAGACAAAAAAAAAAAAAAAATGGGTGTGGGAGCAGGGATGGGGACAAACATGACATTCAACGCTGTGAAAGAGCAGAAAAACTTCCTGCTCTGCTAAATGGTGGAAGCAGAATGGGCTTCCCTTGCCTGATCCATTATCTGTGGCCAAACTTGGAAACCCTTTGCATTTCCCTGCAGCTGTTTGTACACAGATGCCCAAAAAGCATTTGGTAAGTTCTGTAAGACGTGGTTAGATAACATGCAAAATACTTCTTTAAAAACCCTTATTTGCTCTTTTAGGCAGAAAAAGAAGCTAAAGAGGCAAAAAAGATGATAGATGACCTGGGCCTTAGTGGAGAAAATGACTTGCAAGCGCTGATTAAAGTAAGGCTTCTTCTGTTTCTTGCAGATAATTTTGTTACTGGCTTATAATTGTCTTTTCCCTGAGCATCTTTGATTTGGATCCTTGCATATCTTCTGAATTCCTGAGGTTAAAACCTGGCCTTAATGTTAACTCTGTGCTTTAATTTAATTAGAATCAGAGTACAGTATGGATTTTATTACCTGTGTCTATTTAAAAATTCACAAGAGTTAAATATGTGGAGTACTTATGCAATAACTTCTAGTTTTAGGTGGTTTCACAGGGAGTTCTAATGATGATACTAAACTTCCCGTAGCTTGTCTTTAATGTGTTTGATGTAGTCCAAGATTTTGTGTAGCTATCAAATTCCAACAGGATAAGCTGTTTGGGAAGTTCCAAAGGGTCTGAGCTTGGCTGGTTTTCTTTTCCCCCTGCCCAGCGCCGAAGCAAAGATCGAGAAAAGGAAATGGATAACTTCTTCGCCCATCTGGAAGCAAAGTACGGCAACAGTGCTAAGAAAGGAGGAAAGAAGACCTCAGCCAAGAAAAGAAAGGCAGAAGGAACAGACTGAAATAGCAGGTTTCACTTTGTATGGAAACGTGGATTTGGGAGAATTTTGGGTGTTTTCCGGGCTCCTGTTTCGGACTGCGTGCATTGACCGGCGGTAAGTGGGAGGCATGACACGGAATGCGTGCTGAACGAGGAAGACAAGGCATTCCTGTGCTGCTATCTCCAGCTCTTTGGGTGCTCTACAGTTGAGATCCATGTGTGCTGTTCACACATTTCTTCTGTAACAAACCTCCTGCTATTTTTAAAGGTCTTTGCTCAACAGGTGTTTTTTCAGATATTCCTGTAGTTTTATAAAGATAGTTTGGAAAATTGCTGGTTTAATAAACAAGGAGGTGGGGTTGTTTTTCAGAGTTTTGCTTCCTCAGTTCTCAATATGTTTTCTAAATAAGCTATTTAAAACAAGCCAATTGTGTTGATTCTTCTGATTTCAGTCAAATAAATCCTGCACACTTCCAGGGAGGATCATTTTTCAAAGGCGTAGGAGTCTCAAGGTGAACACTTTGGGAGCTGGAGGCTCTCACAGCTTCAACAACAGCTCCTGGGGGGAAGCCAGAGGTAGATGGTTTCTCTGTTCCCTTTTACTTGTCTGCTCTGAAAAATAACCCTGATTCTGAGAAAGTAGAGAATATCATTGTGGTTTGTAACACAGGGCTTGAAGATTACTTTTGGTGCACAAAATAAATAGTCCAGGAGCAGTCCCTGGTGTCAGCCATCTGTACAAAAACCAGAAATAGCCTTAGGAGGCAACTGCATTTTTTTAAACCCACTGACTCCTCTAGGCTGTAAAACACTAGATCATGTTAGCAGAAGTCTATTCAAGTTTATTTGTCTGTTTTTGTAACTCTTGTGCTACAGAAAACTCACTCAGTCCCTGAGGAATGGCACAGATACAAATGGGATGCTTATCTGCACTTTTCCTGACATAACTAACACACTGCACAGTGTTCCAGAAGAGAAATTGTATTTTGAAATGGTTTCGTGAGTAGAGGTCTCTGGTGAGCATCACCTTCTCTCTCTGAAAACTCAAAACTGAGTTCAGAGCTGCTTTTTTTTTTTTTTTTTTAACTTCTGGAAATGCAAAGGCAAGTTAACCCAGTTATATTTGCACAGTTCTCTCTTTCTGATTAAAGCACGTTTGGATCAACTAGACTTGTGAGCTTCAGTATGGATGAAAAATTATTAGCTGGTCTGGAGTGGGGAAATCAGGGAGCCATATCATAAAAAAATACTAACAAGGGGTTTTTTTCCTATCTTGAAGAATAAGAAAATACAGGAAAACCGTGCTCTTTGACTAGATTGGTTTTTGTGGAGCGTCCTAACTTTGTTTAAATACAGCCAGTGGCTACCTCAGCTTGGTTTTTTTTTTATATTTCGGTCTGGCAGTTTCTGTTTGGGAGTAAGACCTTCAACTAATTGCTTATTTTGAGAAGCCTGTACTTCATGGTTTCATTTGTCTTATCTGGAGCCACAAGGCCAACTCCAGCAAGTGCCTCTGTTAGGTCTGTCACACAGGGCAGACACAGCTCCTGTAAGCTCTATTTCATCAGTGGCTTCTGGAGCTCTACCTTGGAGTGAAGAAATCTTGTGTAATTATAGGTATTTTTACAAAGGGAGACTGAGCTATTCTGTGAAATTGCCATAAAATGTCTCACCAGGAAGATTTTGAGTATTGTCTGAAACTACTTGTAGTAAGAAGTTTCTTTTTGCCTGTTCAGCCTTCTTCAGTCACTGAGGAAGAGGTAAAAGGTTTTATTATAACTCAGGAAGAGGCAGTGCTGTGCTGCCCTTGGAGCTGCCAGTTCACCTGCTCTGCTGCCTTGGTTCTGCACATCTGTGTTCATACCTGCTGCAGCTACCACAGCATTCATCATCTGCCTAAGCTGAGTGCTTGCTTTTGCTAGTACAATATTGCTTCAAACATATTTAAACATATAAATACACTATTTTTAAAAAAGTAAATCACTACATCTGTGGAAGGCCGGGTTAACCTTCCCAAGGGAAAAATGAGCAGGTCCTGCAGTACCTGCCTGTAAGGACATGAACCTGTCACCAGCCTCACAGAAAACAGCACAAGCACGGACTGAGAGTGTTTGCTGGGTTTCTAGGAGTTGGGCTTCACAGGAATGTATTCACCCTTCCACTGGAGCATCACTTTCTCTACTGCTAGGAAGTGGAATGTTTAAGTGCACCCCTTCTAATCTTTGGCAGCTGCTGCTTAGATTTATATAAAAATAACTATCTGTAAGGAAGGGTGTTTGAAAACTCTGTGTAAACAACGTTGACCTTGCTGGGAAAGAGAGGTGCTTCATGACTCTCTGGAGAGGGATGGATGGGTGGATGCTTCTCCGTGGCACATCAGTGCCTCTGTTTGCTCTTTGTGCCTGATCCACTTCGGCTGTGGGCTTTCACAGAACCACGTGATGGAAGACCTGACAAACAACAGATCATGGACAGCCTCAAGACTTTGGGAAGGAATTACAGCTAAGTATCAAATACATCTCCTCTAGCCTAAAATTAAAGTGTCTTTACTCTAACACATGGCTATCAGCTGCATTGTTTGTAACTTCCAAAAAGGGTAAAGCTTGTGTTTGCCGAGTTGATGCATTGCAGCAACTGCATTCCTTGATATTTCATTAAGTATTCATGTCTACAAAGCTTTTCTGCAAATTTAAATTGTTTTTGTCAATACAGCAGTCATAAAACTCATCTTTTTTTTTCAGGGGGGGCAGATACTTATTTAATTTCAGTAGGAACCACTCCTTGCTTGTTTAAAAACAAGCTACTTCAGTTTTAGTGCCTTTATTAACCTCAAGTTACTATTTCTGTTTAAGCTGACAACTGCTTTGAAAACTTGGACACTGAGAGGCACTGGGGCTGATGACATTAAGCCTTCTTACTTGATTTAGATATTTGGTGGTAATAAAACGAAAGAAAACCCCAACAAAATGCAGCCAACTATACTCTGGGGTAGAGCAGGACATCGCAAGAATAACATCTGTATAATGGTAAATTAAAGACACGGATGGAACTGTGACAAAGTATAAATTACCTGGAGGTTTTTTTTCAGGGGGGGCAGATACTTATTTAATTTCAGTAGGAACCACTCCTTGCTTGTTTAAAAACAAGCTACTTCAGTTTTAGTGCCTTTATTAACCTCAAGTTACTATTTCTGTTTAAGCTGACAACTGCTTTGAAAACTTGGACACTGAGAGGCACTGGGGCTGATGACATTAAGCCTTCTTACTTGATTTAAATATTTGGTGGTAATAAAACAAAAGAAAAACCCCAACAAAATGCACCCAACTATACTCTGGAGTAGAGCAGGACATCGCAAGAATAACATCTGTATAATGGTAAATTAAAGACACGGATGCAACTGTGACAAAGTATAAATTACCTGGAGGAATGTCCCCCTGTAGGAAATGCATCCCTGTCCCATCTCCTTTGTTTGATCTTACTAAACCCTGGGACTATGAGCATACCTGAACTCGTGGATGCTCTCCTCGTCCAGGATTGATTACTGGAATCAGTAACAGTGCAAGAACGGCGGCGCTGGGAATGGGGCTGGAAAAACAGCTCAAGTTATTTTCTGTTTGCATGAAAACAAATCAGCAAGATTATAATGTAACTAAAATCTACTTAAACACGTGTATTTGGTAATGAGTTAGATGTTGTGAAGGTCTAAGGAAAGTTTTAAAGAAAGGTCAAATCAACTTTAGAAGTAGAAAATACACTTTTCTAACACTTATTTAAATTTTCACTGGGCCGGTTAGAGGCAGTCTTTCCATTTCAGGATATTGCACTGTTGCAAAGCAGAGTTTATAACTGCTGAGTCCAGGATGTTGAAATTGTACACAGAAACCAATCAAGCAGCTATTTAAAAGCTCTGCTGAAATTACAGCTTTCAAAGCTTAGACAAAAACACATTGTTAGATACAAGAAGGTACCAGTAGAGTAGGAGTTCCAATAAATTAAACTGAGAGTATTTGATACTGAAACAGACTGGACATGGATTGATGTTAATTCTCAAAGCACCCTTTTCAGTAATTAAGGATGATCTGGTGTAATTAGCCATGCTTTACCGAGGATGTGGTGGTTGTGTTAGGCCTGGAGAAGGGATCAGGTAGGAACAGCTGTGCCTGCAGCTGCTGGCGAGTGTCTTCTTGTGTCGTGACTCTGTGAGCATGGCTCGAGTTCCCTCGAGGTTTCTGCAAGGAGAAGGAACAGAGTTATGCCTTTTTCTTTGTGCAGCAGTTCATTGAAAATAATTAACCCAGGAATTAAAGCTAACTTTCAAAGTTAATCATTTTATACCTAGTTATGAGGAGGGAAACATTCAATTTGCATTAGAACTAAGCAGTGGGTGATGCTGTTGCTCAAAACTGATACAACATTTTTCTATTTGATAATCTATTTGACCTTCTGTCACAAAACAACAAAAAAATTGTAACTCTTGGGCTGGGTAATTTGACCAGCAGTGCCAACAACTTTAGACTATCCAGTAATAAAATGAGATTGCTGTGCCTGTTACCGTTTGCCTGTGGGGTCCTGTGGTGCTCCCATGCTCTGCCACGGTGGTGGTGGCAATGGGTGGCAGGGGGTGATTTCTGTTCAGCAGCAGTGGGGAGGGTGAGGTCAGCTGCTCCTGTGCTGTCAGGCTGGAATGCACCAGTAAGAACAGAAAAAACACAGTTAATATGTTTGGCAGGTGGAAAGGTGTAATGTCAGTTTCTCTGGCCTTCTGGACTTGACTTGGAGTTTGAAGCTTGGAAAAGCTTCAAACCATCTAAAAAAGACTTTCCTAGTGCTCTCCACTTACATTTTAAAATACATTTTGTCCTGGATTGCCAAGCAAATTGTATTCTATTTGCCATCTGTATGGCAGCTGTCTTCTGTTCAGTGGGCAGTTTTCCTTATCTGTTCCACAACCAACCCTCCCTCCACAGAGACTTCTGCTGATACCAGGCTATGGAATGTCACTGTGTGACTGATAAGAACTACAGCATCCACTGGGAGATGTGAGCCCAGAGGGAGGAGCCAAGCATTCCTGCCTGGATATAATCTGGAGTTTCTGGAACACCAGCACAGCTTCTCCACTGGATTCCCAGAGGAACAGCTGCCTCTTCCACTGGATCTTCAGAGGAAGGCTACACCCTTCTACAGGATCCCTGCTCCAGCAGAACCACACCTGACACTCCAGGAGGACTGCAGCCACAATTCCAGTTGCCCACGATGGAGGAGCACTGCAGCGTGGTGGTGGAAATCACGGATGTCAATGACAATGCCCCTGAGGTCATTCTCACCTCCTTCTCAAGCACCCTGAGCGAGGATGCACTGCCAGGCACAGTGGTGGCCGTGATACACGTCAGAGACAGGGACTCTGGCGAGCAGGGCAAGGTCCTGTGTCACGTGTCTCCAGATCTTCCCTTCCAGCTGCGTAAGGACTACGAGCACCAGTACTCGCTGCTCACCAGCACCCGCCTGGACCGGGAGCATGTTGCCTACTACAACGTCACCGTCTCTGCCTCAGACCTGGGCAATCCCCCCCTCTCCCGCCACACCATCTTGCCAATCACCCTGATAGATGTCAATGACAACGCTCCCCAGTTTGAGCAAGCGTCCTATGAAGTGCTCGTGGCAGAAAACAATCCAGTGGGCAGTGTGAAGGCTACACCCTTCTACAGGATCCCTGCTCCAGCAGAACCACACCTGACACTCCAGGAGGACTGCAGCCACAATTCCAGTTGGATTGCTACCAACACCCTGACCAACAGGGTGTCAGGTTGTGTCTGACTCTGTCAGTGTTGTTTTAGTTTACTGCATTGTTTATTTTATCTTTTTATTTTCTTCCCTATTAAAGAACTGTTATTTCCTGCTCCCATATTTTTGCCTGAGAGCCCCTTAATTTCAAATTTATAACAATTCAGAGGGAGAAGCTTTACATTTTCCATTTCAGGGGAGGCTCCTGCCTTCCTTAGCAGACAACTGTCTTTCCAAACCTAGACACATTTTAAAAAAGCAGAGATGTCAGTATTTCTTAGATTGACTGAAGCCTGAGGAAAGGGAACAGAAACACAAAATACTGGAAGGAGAAACACCAGTTATGAAGGAATAAGGGACAAGGAATAAGTCTCTCAACAGTATGTGACAAGGAGGCAACAGACTGGATGAATTAATATAGATAGATAACAAAACTAGAAGTAAGCTACATCAATTTAGAACATGTGAAAATAGACAAGTCTATCAAATCCTGCATTGTTTCCTGATACCCTGTGGTCCTTGTAAATTACTCCACTCAGTCAGGTCATTGTGCAGAATAAAAGAAAGATATTCTAGATGTGATTGAGGGCTCACTAAGAGCCCTTTGATCGTCAGATAACCTTTCTGAACATCTTTATAGTCTAGGCTGGGTTAGGATAGCAACATGCAATATGACCTCCAAAACCTGCAGGCTTTTAAATTTATCCTGAAAATAGGCTGCAGAAAGAGACAGCCACGTCAAGGAAGAGATAGTGCCATTCACTTTGCTTGCAGAGGACAGACAGATCTATTGCTCACGTGCAAAACTACCTGAATATGGAACGTGTGTGATTCACCGAATCACAGCTGGCAGCACTCGGAACATCGGCTTTAAGGACTCAGCTTTCTCAGGGGAGCTGTGCTTCAAGGGGCAGCCCCTCTCCCTCCCCAGGGCTGCTCTCTGACCCTGGTGCCCTGCAGGGAGAGGCAGTTTTGGGGACCTACAGGCGCCTGCAGACATCCTCCCCGGAGCGTGGGGTGCCGATGGGATGCAGGGTCCGTGGTGGAGGGTTCCTCCTCCTGGTGCAGCGGGACAGGGACGAGGTGCTGAGCTCCAGGGAACGGTTTGGCCACGTCCGGGTGGAGAGGAGGGAACTGGAACCTGGCCGTTTGTCATCCAGCTCCCTAACAACAACAAAAAATTACAAGAACAAAAGAGAGATGGTCAGCATGACAACTGCTGCTACCAAAGTGCTCACCTACAGGTGACTTTAATCATAAAATACCTGGGCAGAAATTATGTGTGTTGATTTTTTATGTCACTTGTGGAAATCATATATTCTCTGAATAGAGAGAGACATAGCTCTCTCCCAGGATTTCCTGAGAAGCTGTGAGATAGCTCAGAGAAAAGAATGAGAAACAATTCTTATCTTCACTTGCTGCACCTGTTGTTGTGCACATGTGGAATGTGTTTGTTTACCAAAGGGTGGTTTCTTAATTGAACACTAGTGATGGTATTTGGATTCATTGACCAATTAGATTTGTCTGTATAGCACTGTCTGAAAAGGATGATAAGTTTCTTAGTAATACAGTATAATATACAGTACAGTATAATATAGTATAATAAAGCAATTCATCAGCTTTCTACAATCATGGAGTCAATACTCATAACTCCCTAATCAGGGGCTCACTACCATGACAGTAACTATATCAATTTTTACAGAGGACAAATAAATAGCCAAGCAGGAAAATAACTAATAACTAATTACTTTCTCTGGCAGAGGAATTTATCTTACAAGGTTTTGGGCTGAATCCCTCTCATCATTGAGAGTGTTCTACTTTATTTACTACAGGTGATCTGTTGCTCTTACAGTGTTTTCTCCACTACAGGCAGGTTCCTCTGGTGTAACTGGATCCCATGGATCACCATCAAGCCATTCAGGTTACGCTGAGAACTACTACTTGATCCTTGAGAGAGACTTACCTGAAATTAAAATAAGTAAGCAAATTACTGTTTGACAGAGAAACACACACAAATATTTACAGACTTTGTCTATCACTTTGGAGAAAAGTCATTAATTTCTTCCATGACATTCAGATATATACTCAGTTATATTATTTCCCCAGCTAGGGGATCTTAGCATTTATTTTTTTTTTGGAATGACAGTGCTTAAAAATGTCCTAATACTTAATGTTTTCCAACTGAGCAGCTCATTTGCTGATCCTCCAACTATGTCTATAATCAGCAGCTTTACAAAAATAATCTTCAGTGCATTCTTGACATTTTATGTCAAGAACAGATCTGCAAAATCCTTTTCTGAGATACAGACTGATCTGGGGAAAAAAGAAACATCATGTTCCACCCACCATAAGAAGAGCAAATAGAAAATAGCAGAGTTTAAATCCCATACATACTTGAGGTGTTTTTCTCCTTTTTTTGCTTTTGCGGCCACCTCTGGGTTTTGGGCACTACACACACAGTGAGGGGACACAAGGGATAGGGAGAGGGAAGAAATAAAGGAGAAAGAAATAAAAAAGAAATAAGAAGGAAAGAGCTGAATTAAAATGGAATAAACAGGTAACACTTTGGTGCTCACCACTCTAGAAGCAGATCATACAGATAAACTCAGTGTCTGAGAAAAAAAAAAAACCAAACTGGTTTAGAACTGCAGAGATTTCTCCCTTCTTGCTGGATGAATTAACTATTATTGTGAGAATGGGATCACACACACACACACACTCCTCAATCTCACCATTTAATTGAAACATGAAACTGTGGAAAGAACTACATCCTGAATCAACAGCCACCACATGGTTGTCACACACAGATATAAAATACTGTGTCAGGGAAGAAAGTAGGAATTAAAACTTCCAAATGAGTAACAGGACTGAAGTGTCAGAAAGGACAGCCAGCATTCACACAAAGTCCAAACCAGTTATAAACCTAAACACAACCACTCTGTCTGCTGAGGTAACGCTGTGATTCATCCCCACACAAAACAGCAGCTGGCCAAAAATCCTTACCAGATTGGATGCCACTGAGGGCATCTTTGTGTGTGGCACCCGAGGTAGCAGTGCTGGCAGAGGATCCAACTGCAAAGGGCTTCTGGCATCTGCTCGGAGCGTTTCCACTGTTATGATATTTTTCTCATCATCTGTGCAAAGCAACAGAATTCCTGTCAATATTGGCATTGCTATGAATCAGAATTTTCTTAGAGAGAGTCCCCTTGGATGACAAGCTCTGCTAAGTTTTTTGAAGATGTGTTTCACACTGTTAGCAAAATAACCTTTTTATTCCCACTGAACAGATCATTCCCAAATATATCACTCTCCCATGGCATCTTTGCAAAATTAGCTGAAATCCCCTTTTGAGCCCTCACCTTAACATGAATCCTTACCAGAGGCTGACCCTTCCCAGTGCCTGCAGATCAATTCTTCCATGCAAACCAGGACTTCACTCCACACGTCATCAAACACAAAGGTGAGCACGGAATCCTTCATGCAGGAATAGGGAGAGACAGGAGGAAACCCCAGTTTCCGTCTGCCAGAGGACAGTCCCATTTTCCTCTCGTGCAATTCCTCCTCCCTGTAAAAATGTAAGCATTACCTGCACCAGAAACACATTATGTCCTATATTTATTTTCAGTTTTCCCACTGACCTCAGTGAGAAATGACAGACCCACCCTGGTCTCCCTATACAGAATGATTATAAATCATACTCCATGAACAAAAATTTACCCACGAGATCAAATTCATGTCAAAAAATCAGAATTAGTTGTTACAGTGATATTTCTTCATCACATTGTTAGGCTTCATATCTAATGACAGGACAGAATCCTGAAAACAAGACAGTGTTATTTTTTTTTGCTGCAGCAATGTCTCTCTAGTCTGCTAAAACCAAGAAAGATAACAGTTTTAATTTAATGGTCCATCCAGATAAGTGGCTTTAATTATTAAAACCAATTAAGTAGTCAGGAATTGACAGCACCCTCCAGAGTCCTGACTCAGGCCATATGTTCATACTGTATGTATACTGTACTAACTAATGTAAAGGGGTAAAAAGATAAAACTAGTGGTAATTGTTTCTTGACAAGCATAAAATCCACTCTAGTTCTTAAAACTACCACTGAAAAAAATCCAAAAAGGTACAATTCCACCCAAAACAGAAGCAGCACACTGCTGTTGCATAACTAACAGCAGTGAATTTGACATAGTGTGAAAAATAAATGGTGTTTAAACACATATTATTAAATACACAGGCTATTAGTTATGATGGAATGAATTATTCAAACCAAGCACAAAAAACTGCATGAAAAATTATCAAAAAATTCCTAAACATAATTTAGTGAAAGAAATTGTCCTAGGAAACAGGTTGGGAAAATTCCCAGTGCTCAGGCAACCTCAGGCCTTTGAAAGCTCTGTAGAGAAAAGATAAATAAATTCATCAAGTATGTGTGTCTTAACTGCAGGAGCCCCAGGACACTATTTTAACCTTCAATACTTACACATCTCTGTGGTCAAATGCCAAGTATTCCTCCACTATGCCTTCGGAGAGAATGACTTCCTCTTCCCCTTCACCGCTCTCTGAGGAACACAAGGTCGGAGCCTTGGAAGGGTTGGCCTTTTTGTGAGCAGGAGCAACAAAAAGAGGCACCTTCTTGCCCAAAACGCTAAATCTGGACAGGTGACAGTTTTCAGAAAGCAGAAACAAAGATAAGTTGTTATTCAACCTCAAATAACTGAGAGACAAGCATAGTTGTTAAAGGCAAGCAGTAGCGAGGACAAAAAAATTATTCATTACAGTAGCAACTTCTGGTTTGGATACCTTCTAATTCTTAATAAGGAACCTGAAACTTCAGGGGAAAAAAATATCCAAAGCTGATTAGAAAGCATTCTAAAACATTAAATAATAAAAGCAGCACTAACGTCATGCTTTGTATTTTTAAAGCCTAGGCAAATTCAACAGGTGATTAATAATAAAACCAACAACAGTGTACACATATTCTTAGGAAATCACCAGCAGCAAAGATATTTCTGTTTACTGGCCAGCTCACTGCAGTCAGGAAAAGCACAGCTATGTGTTCTTGCTGTTGTAAGTGTACTCAATTCAGTTAAAAAGGGAAAAAAAAAAAAAAAAGAGTGTGCTGTGTTCAAAACTCAGCCTAAGAGGAAGGCTGCACACTCTAAGAAGCAGAGAAGAAACCTGCCTTCCCACCTTGGCGTGATCCAGGCTCACTGCTGGTACTTACTCATCAGAATCCTTTTCCTGTGGTGAACTTACATCCGAGGGAGCCAAACTGCCCGAGGGGGAACTCGAGTACCATCCATACCCTTCATCTGTGGGGGCCACCACCTGCTTCCCCACCACCCTGCCACGGCAAAAGCAAAGGAGAAACACAGCAGAAAACCTTGGCTGTGCAATTATTGACGGGTGTCAGAACAGCAGCAAATCCTAGAAGTTCTCCTGGGAAGCTGTGCAGTTTTCCTGGTGACACTTTCAGTTTTCTAAGAGAATTCTGCTCTGTCAAGGCCAAGTCAGCCACAGATAGCCACAAATCTCTGCCAAAGAGCCACGTGTGAGGTAAGAGGATGTTTATTAATGACAGGCAGGCACATCACCAGAGTGATCTTTTTATCTCTGTCTCCTGCATAACTGCACAAACCCACCCTGCCCTGTTTCAAAAGCAGCTGTGTGCCTTGTAGGGAAGGCAGCAGCATCAGCCCATTAATAAAGTACCTGAGATGAGGAAAGCTGGAGGACCACTGGTGGCATTCTTCCCGCAGTCCCTCAACATGAACGGTCTCCTTCTGCTCATACAGAAGCTCATCAACTTGTCTGAACATCTGCTGAACTTGCTGTGTGGCAGCTTTGTCAAATTCCTGGAGAGGAAAGAAAATACTCAGTGAATAGCATTTGGAGGGGTTTCTTAACTGGTCTTTTGAAATATAATTAGAAAACACAACTATTTGTTTACAGCTTAGCAGGACTGCACAGAAAGATTTTCACTTTAAATGATTTTCTCCCAGAGATGATGCAGCCTGCTCTTAAGATGGATGGCAGCCACATAAAAAGCTTACATTGACACAGCAGAAAAAACTATTAAAACATTTTGAAATATCCATATTATTATATTAAGCTACAAGACTTAAAGGAATCAGAAGGGGAAGGATAAAATTCAGTGATATTTTAATGCAGTGGAGGATTTCTTGCTTCCAGTGTCCACAAAGAGCAGCAACACTAAAAGCAATGCAGGCTGGTGGGAAACACTGAACCTGAGGGATGGTCAGGCCCTTTGTTACATGTGATAGAAAATGGGGTCAGTTCTGGGGTCATTTAAATCTAAACAGCTCCATCTCACCTCCCAGAAGGCAAAAACACACTTGACTTTGGTGGCAGGAGAATAAATCAAACATTTCTGAACGAAAATAATGTTTTAGCAACTTCCCATACTTTGAGAAACATGCGAGGGCAGAAGTTTGATAAACACACACCAAGTGTCTGAAAGTCATCCAGCCATGTCTGGGGTTCCACAATAACAGCATTTATAGATACACTCATGCACTAAATGACTTGAATTTTCAAATTTTTTGGTGGAAATACAGAATATTAGCAGAATAGTCTAATGTGTTTTGAACTGAAAGACAGAAAGCAGTAAAAAAGATGTTCTTTCTGTAGTCACTACCATGATTTTCTGTCAGATCCATTTTTTTTTTTTTCTGAGATGTCTTTGCAGCAGTATTTCAAATGTCTTTCTGTGCTCGATTTGGCTTGGAGGATTATGTCCTACTCACGTCATAGCCCCAAGAGAAGACCGAGCTGTCTTCTGTGGAGGTGTCAGCACGACCCTGGCTCGCAGTGCGTGCATCCCCATGATCATCCGATCCCTTACGGATTCCCGACTCCCTGAAACGCGCACGTCGAGCCACAACCAAAAACAAAAAGAAAGCAAATCAGCCCACAACGAACAATGACAGATTGAGTGTGTCAGTAAACAAAGCCTGGCTGTACCAGAACCGCTGGATCGGACGTGTCACAAGTACCTGGAGGTCTGGGCGAGGTTTCCAGCCGTGGATGTGGCTGAACACACCTGAGCCCCTGGCTCTGGCGGTGGGTGATGCCTCAGGGCATGTTTTGGGAGTCCTTGTCTGAAAAAACAGAAGTGGACCTTGGCATAACTTACAAGAATAAACATTAATGGAGTTCCCAATAAGTTTTATAGGCTTTTTCCCCCTGCTTCTCAAGGACTGTGCACACATTTATTACTATTACAAAGCTAATTCTTGTCGCCAAAGCTCTAGGTTTAAAGTGTCAAAACTAACTCTAGGATAAATATGGACTTAAAGGTCTTGGCTTCAAAATCAGTTAAACTTAACCTTAAGATGCTGTGAATTGGGCTACAGCTCCCTAAAAGCAGAGACAATGCCATTATCCCTGCAGATTAAGTCCATTAAATGAAATGAAATACAACGAGAGTAAACGAGCCGAGTAAATCAGAACTGGCCCAACTCTTGGGTCACGGGAAAAAAAGTCAATTACAGGGATTTAATCGCGTTCTGTCACACCGGTATCTGGTGGGGACCGATGCTCAGGGATCCCGGGAATGCCGGGAACCATCTCCCGTCAGGGACAGGGGCTGACCGGGCCGTCACGGGCCCTGCTCGGTGCTGGGGGCAGCGCGGGCGGCAGGCCCGGGAGCGGGGCCGGGGGGATCGCGACCGGGACCGCGCTGGGGCTCGGGGCCGCGCCGGGCACCGGGGCAGCGGCAGCCACTCACGCCTGCACCGGTTTCCGCGCGTATCGCGATATCATCCTCAGCGCCGCCGCCCCGCCGCCGCCGCCATCGCGCCGCTCCTCCCCGGGGCGGAGCGCGGCCCCGGCGCGATGGAGGCGCTGCGGCGGCCGGCGCTGCCCGAGGATACGGTGCGATACCGCCTGTTCGCGGCGGCGGCGACGGGCCCGGGCGGTGAGGCGCTGCTGCGGCGCTGCGCTGAGCTGGCCCTGGTGCGCTTCGCCCCGCTCCTGGCCGCCTACGTGTGGCAGCGGGAGCCGTTCCGCCTGCGCTACGTGCCGCGCCGCGGTGAGCCGGCAGCGGGCCGGGAGGCACGGCGGGAGGAGCGGGGGGACTGTGAGGGGGACCCGGCGGCCGGGAAGCGGGAGCGTGTGAGGGGGAACGGGAGAGTGTGAGGGGGGAACGGGAGAGTGTGAGGGGGGACCGGGAGAGTGTGAGGGGGCAACGGGAGAGTGTGAGGGGGGACCGGGAGCGTCTGAGAGAGAACCGAGGCCGTGTGAGGGGGGACCTGAGGGCCGGGAACCGAGGCCGTGTGAGGGGCACCCGGCGGCTTCCCAGCCTGTCGGTGTCACAGCACGGGTTAGCCCAGTGAGGCCTCTGGTGCCACCTCCCCGCTGCAGCAGGGCCATCCCCGAGCACAGGACACAAGATTCTGTCAGCAGGGTCTGCAATATCCCCGGCGAGGGAGACTCCGCAGCCCGTGGGGACAATCTGCTCCTGGCCATGGCGTTGCTGAGCCGCCTCTCCTCTCTGTGCCCCGTCCAGGCGAGACCCCGGCGCACTTGGGCGGCACCACCGCGTTCGGGGATAACGTGGAGGATGAGTGGTTCATTGTGTACCTGCTCCGGGAGATCAGCAGGGAGTTCCCGGGGCTGGCAGCCAGGTGAGGCTGAGCTGCTTGTGTGGGAGGGCTGCCAAGGGGCACTGCCTGTGCTCTGGAGGTCCTGTCTTAACATTCCCATCCTTGGAGGTGTTTCCCCATGCCATACATGTTGGAAGTGTCCAAGGGCAGATTGGATGGGGCTTGGAGCAGCCTGGGCTAGTGCAGAGTGTGCCTGCCTGTGGCAGGGGGCTTGGAACCAGGTGTTGATCTTTAAGGTCCCTTCTAACCTTAGACTTTCTATGGGTTTATGAATATTAAAAAAAAACTCCAAGGGACATGGATTCAGAAGTGTGCTGTTGTGCTCTGCAAGGCTTTTCCTACTAAATTTCCAATTTCTCCTTGGCCAGGATTGATGACAACGATGGAGAGTTTCTCTTGATAGAAGCAGCTGATTTTCTCCCAAAATGGCTGAATCCTGAGAACAGTGAAAACAGGGTGAGTAAAACTTGTGTACAGTTGGCAAGGTGGCCACAGTGGCCTTTTCTGTAGCAGCTGGAGTTTTCTCTTGCACCTCTAGCCAAGTGGTCTGACTGCCTCTGAACATCCAGAGTGCTTTCTGTCCCTTGCTGTTGCTGCCTTCAGGAGCACTCCTGTATCCACCTGAACCTTCTAGCTCTGCTGAACCACTTGGACTGTGAGTGTTTAGGCCAGAGGATTTGCTGCCCTCAGAGTAGGGAATGCTCAGGGCTGGGTGTTGCTGTCTCTGGAAGGACACAGGCTTTAGCACTGGTGAAATAATGAGCAGACACCTTCTCCTGGATATGGATGGTTGCTAATGGCAATGGATTAAAATGGAGAGAATTAATTTGGTCATTAGCAAAAAATTGTTTCATTCTTTTTCCCCTACACCCAGATTCTTTAAAAGGGCTGGAACACAACACCAGAATTGATTGCAAGTGTGCACCTGGAGTGTCAGGCTCATGTTTCCTTTTGTTTGGGGGAACAGAGTGAGGGAGTTGAGAACATTGCACTCAGGGCTTTTCCCAGCATCAGGAACCAGCAGAGGTCGCCTGTAGCACCTGAAATAATGCTCTTTAATCCCTGGGATGCTCTGGAGCAGTTCGGTTATGCTGGTTCTCCTGAAGCACTTCTCCAGTTGAAGAGAAACGTGGTATTGTTGTTGTTAAGGAAACGAGATATATGTGATGAAACTTGTTGCAGTTAGAATAGGGATTTTTACTGTTTGGATCATGGTCTCTGGCATCTCAAATAACTTTTTTAGAAAAGCTGTGCTGCTCCCTGCATTGGTTCTCTGTTTGTCCTTGATATTCCCTGTGCTCAAACAGATGCATTTGTATATAAATGCAATTTTCCGTGGCTCTGTGTGTGACTGCTCTTACCCCGTGTGACGGGAGCATTCCTGCCTGCCAGGTGTTCTTTTACAAAGGAGAGCTGCACATCATTCCTCCGCGGGAGCCCTCGGAGCAGGGCTGGGCCCTCTCTGCTCCCTGTCCCACGGTGCCGCAGGCGCTGGCTCTGTTATCCACCCGCTCCGAGGAGTTCCTGGCTGCAGAGCCCGTCAGAGCTGCGCTGGACAAACGCATCCGTGGGTACGTGGGGCTGCCTTTCTGTCCTCTGCAGCGCTGGGGTTTGGTTCTGTGCTCCCTGGGCTTCAAACGTTTCCCCAGCAGATGGGATAAAGTTGGTTCCTTTTCAGAAATCAGCAGCTGGAGGTTTTTCTGTGGCACTCTTGGAAAGAGGGGGATCGGTGTCCTGTAGGCTGTGATCTGGGCATCTCAAACTGGCTCACTGCTGTAATTCCACCCCTGACAATGACAAGAGTTACTCTTCCTTCACATTCTTCTGAGACTGAAAAATCTGAAAGTTCTGTGATCTTTTAGGAGCCCTGTGCACAAGGAAAAAGAGGATTTGACCTAAAATGTAGAACCACGAGAAATGTCAGAGCTTCAGCTTGTCATAGCTCTGTTCAGCCCGGTTCTTTATTTTTTACAACAATTTGACAGCAAGTATGGCAAAGAATACTGCATAGCTGGATGTGTTGGTTAAGTCCACAGGCACTCATCTTACCCATGTGGGGGATTCAATTTTATGAGCCATGTACACTTCTATACATATGTCTTACAGAAACAGACATTCCAGGCACTAGATTGGCCGAGTTTTAGCTCCATAGTAATCTTCTGACCCATGATAAATATTAAAGGGAAAGGGGCCTCATGATACAGAAGGAGTGGTTGACCTTGCAGTGCATTTCCCACACTCGGTTGCCGTTCAGGTATCCCGAGAAGATCCAGGCCTCGCTGCACCGAGCCCGCTGCTTCCTCCCGGCCGGAATCGCGGCCGTGCTGAGGCTGCGCCCGTCCCTGGTGGCTGCGGCAGTCCAGGCCTTCTACCTGCGGGATCCCAGCGACTTGGGGGCCTGCCGGCGCCCTTTCAGAACCTTCCCTGCCGAGCAGCGAGTGATGGCCCTGGTAAGTGCTCTCAGAGCCTCTGATGGCCCTGCTCTGTGCTCCTCTAAAGCTTGTGATGGCCTGGTAAGTGCTCTCTAAAGCCTTGTCACTTCATTCCCCTCTGTCACTGACAGGGGTTCTGTGGCCAAACACAGAGATTTAACTTAAAACTGTGACTTTCCTGTTGGGTTTTTTTCCCCCTTCTGGCTGTAGGGATGAATTTCCGGGTCATTACATTAATAGCTGCTCTGGATCGATGTGGCTGGACTTTCAGGGGTGTGATCATGAGAGAGTTGTGTCTGAAACCAGAGGCTGTGATAACAGTTCCTCTGCTGAAGTGCCTGCTGAGTAAATTGATCTCCTTGTGTGATCAGAGCACTTTGACAGCCGTGCCAGCCAATGTGAGCAGTTGCTGCTAACCACTGGTTCACTCTCAGGCTTTTCACCTCAGCTGTGCTCTCACAGCTCTGTGAAAGTTTTTAGGAAGTGTTTTATGAGCACTGTCCAAGCACTGTTGTATCTGATGCATTTTGTTACAGAGTTGTACTACTAGACTCTTAAAAGAAGATTTAGAGTCAAATTTTGGACTTGGAAACTGTTGCTGAAATCTTGTAATCAAATTTCATTTTAATTGAAAGTACACCTTGTTAATGTGAATACAATGTACTGAGGATTTTTCCTGACTGACAAAAATTCATATTTACTTGGGGATTTCAATTTGGGACATACTCTGTGAAGCCTGAAAAGCAATTCATGCGAAAAATCTACCTAAGACATATTTTGGATGCAGTCTCAGGTAGTGCCTGTAATGTGGTGCCTTCAAGCACACTCTGGTGAGCCTGGGGGCAGTTTGGTGCCTGTCCCCAGCACGGTGACGCTGCAGGCAGTGTTTGTTTCTGCTCTGGCTGTTCCAGGTGACTTTCACTCGGTGTTTGTACGCACAGCTGGTGCAGCAGCAGTTTGTTCCAGACAGACGCAGTGGATACACCCTGCCCGCCCCCTCTCATCCTCAGTACCGAGCCTACGAGCTGGGCATGAAGCTGGTAATGATGGTGGTGCCTTTTGGGCTTGGTTCGGGTATGGCCAGGGAAGGGGTCGTTGTCTGGAAGTTGCCTGCTTGTCCAGAAAAGTGTGAGCCAAGTCCATCACGCCTTGAGAACCTCCTGTTGTTGCACCCTTTGTCTGCAGGCTCATGGCTTTGAAATGTTGTGCTCCAAGAGCAGTAAAGTAGCTCCTGATGCCAAGAGAAACGTGGTGAGCGGTCCTCTGTGGGAGAGATTCCTCAGGAGCTTGAAGGAGAAGGATTATTTCAAGGTGAAGCAGTGTGTCTGTGCCTTTTAAACATGCCAGGGAAAATACATTTTAACCCTTGAACTTGTGTGAGGAGTTGCTTTGGGGCAAGAGCTTGAATCCTTATCTCTGTGTAAAGTGAATTAATGTCTTTAAAGGGGATGTGTGCAGTTTGTTCCCTTTTGAAAGTAATTTATTTTGGAAATTAACAAGGAAAAAGCAAGATTTGGGGATTGGTTCATTCATCTAAAGCAAGGGGAGAAATACACTTGAATGAAGAAAACCACCATATGTGATTGTGTGAGCTGTAACTGATTTCACTGGTTTACATTTCATTTCCACCCCTCTAGAATTAAATATTCTTCAAGGTGCATACATAACACCATAGACCTGTCTGGGCCCATGCAAGTGTAATTTTTATGTGTGTGTGGTTTTTGTGCCTTCTGGGGGTTTTGGTGAGGTTTTGTGGTTTTTTGTTGTTGTTTTTTTTTTAAGGATGTCTTTGACTGCTTCTTTGAAGTTAATAAATTGGACATAAATTGAGTACTTATTTTAAGGTTATAAAATTGGAGACAATGTTATTGAGATTCTTGGGTTAAGATACTTTAATATACTTCAGATATAGGGATACCCCTTTGCTGTATTGGGTTCCAAGTGTGCATGGCAAAGAGCTTTTACTTGTTTTGGTCCTCTCAGCATTTCTGTGTGACCAACAGTCATCCTTAGGAAGCCTGCCTGTGAAGAGGAAGGGGAGGGAGAATTGTTTGGGTTCATGCCTGTGACTTGCATTAAACAGGGAGAAATGGAAGGATCAGCCAAGTACCTGGAACTGTTGCACATGGCAGAAGATCACTTCCAGCAATCTGTTGCTGTGCCAGAAAGGTGAGAGCTCCTTGAAATCCATGAGTGTCACGTACCCTACAAATCCTTTCAGGGACCTGTGAAATCCTTGTTACAAACACCTGAACCCTTTTCTCCATGGTACGTTCACCGTGGGAGCTGTGGCCAGGACATGCAAGTACTAATTCCTCTGGAATACTCCACTGGGACAAGCTCTGGCTTGAGTAACTCTTTATGTTGGTTTTGTGAAATGCTGAGCTCTTCCAAGTGGATTCCAAGTGGTGACTGCAAAGCAATTTTTGCTTGGTTGACTGTAGGAAGTGTAGAAAAGTTTCATTGAAAAGCAGTCCCAGTGAATAATAAATACAGAGTAATCTGTCTCCTTTGCTCAAGGAGCTGGCTGTAGATTTCTCTGGAAGATCAAATGCAAAAAATAACTCACTACAGAAATATCTGAGGTTTTGCCAGCTCATAATGTCTTGACTGTTAGATTTTTGAGTTTCCAGTCTGTGCTGCTTGGGATCTGGCAATCTTAGTATTTACCAAGGCAAATTAAATGTAAAGAAAAAGAGCCATGACCAATGGGCTTTGGAGCCATCAGGTGGGAATTGCAGGGACTGACTGTGTCCTGTTTTGGCCAATAATCTGGGTGGTACTCTGGTACTTCCCCCCAGGTTCATTTCCCTTTTTTCCTTCTGTGTTTGCACAGAAGGAAAAATGAAGAATTCAAGTGAAAGCCTGAATGCAAAGCATGTGATCCCATTGAATCTATTTCAGTAAACTGACTTCTTTTCTCCCAGCTCTGATGAAGTGAGCCCAGGTGATGAAATCCTGGCACTACTACAGACAACACCCATTGATCTGAAGGAATTTGAGAGAGAAGCAGCTTGTCTTCCTGCAGAGGATGGTGAGCTGGATGGGGGGAATTATTCCTATTACTGATGATTGTGGGGAGAGAGGGGGAATGAAAGGAGAGAGAGCTATGAAAGGAGAGCAAATCCAGCGTTCCTTAAGACTAAATACTGGATTGGCTCTCCCAATTTAGAGTGAGCCTTTCTTCCTCCACTTAGTGGCCAAAGGCTTCTCAGTGACTAGAATGGTCTCTCTTAGTTTGAGCTCTGCAAAGCAGAGTTTTAAAGTAGTGAAAAGAGATCTGCACTCTGTTCTTTTCAGGCTCTCTCTGCCTTTTGCCGTGTGTGACCCAGGATCAGCACAAAATATCAAGTGCAGAACTGAGCTGCAGGATGGTGGCAGTCCTGTCAGTCAGCTGGTTTGGGCCCTGGGGCCAGCAGGCTTGTGCAGAATGACAGATCTGTCCTGTGTTCTTTCAGATGACAGCTGGCTGGATATTACACCAGATGCTCTGGATCAGATGCTGAAGGAGACAAGAAATGAGTCCCTTCCTTCCACAAACGAGGAAGAGCAAAACTATGACTTGGAAACAGTTGCTGAGAGCATGAAGGCTTTTGTGTCCAAAGTCTCCACGCACGAAGGAGCAGAAATGCCATGGTAGTAGCACTTGGAGTTTGGGTCTGGTGTAGAATGTTGCACTCTGCTGCAGCCCTGTGGTTGGTTCTGGATGCAGAGAATCAGAGTTTGAAGGTGCTGTGCTGGGCAGGGCCTGGAGCAGAGCCAGAGCAGTGAACATGTGCCTGCTTTAAATCAGCCTGGGACCACTCTGACACTGGTGCAGGTTCAAGTGCTGCAAGCTGAGCTGCTCTCTGTCACCCAGTTTGATTTAGTGGTCTTCAGAACTTTTCTCTTTTTGCCAAGAATTCTTCCACTCACTGTTTCATGTCTAATGCATACAGACTTCAAACTTCTGAGGACTTGAAAGTTCAAAGGGCCCAACTTCAGTCCTGGCTTGAGAGAAACCAATATGGCTTGTGCCTGTTCAGGCTTATGAAAGCATAAAAGCTTTATTTCTTTAACAGTATTTTTCTCTTTCAGGTCATCTGATGAGTCCCATGTTACCTTTGACGTGGATTCTTTTACGAAAGCACTGGACAGAATTTTAGGTGAGGTTGCTTCTTTATTTGAAATAAATCCCCGCACTGATTTCTTTGCTGTTGAACTGACACAAAACAATGTCCAGGGGCAGACTCGGAGGAGCTGGATTCTGATGATGTGGATGAAGAGGAGGAGTTTGGTTTCTCAGATGAGGATGATGAAGACCTGGATGCTGGGAATCAAAGGCAGGAGCAGAAGGTGTCTCCTGAGGAGCTCGTGGGCAGTCTCAAGGCGTACATGAAGGAGATGGACCGTGAGCTGGCACAGACCAACGTAGGGAAAAGTTTCACCAGCCACAAGAGAGGGGTGAGTGTGCCTTGAGCTCTGATTGCAGCAGTCATTTCCAAGCAGGAAATGTGCTGCAAGTGGCCATTCTGAGTAGTGGGATCGGAACCTTCCCACCTGCAAGCAAAGTGTGCTGGACCTGCACCATAATACCTTTTATTTCAAGCTGAAGCCTCCCTAAGCTTTGAATTTGCCCATCTTTTCCAAGGCTTAGTTCCATTTTCCTGGTTTCACCAGTAGGGCAAGCAGCTGCAGCTTCACTTGTGAGTTCCTGTAGTAGTTTTCTCCCATAGGAGGCTGAGCCAGGATTCAGGAACAATTTCTGTCCTTCTCTTGGAACTTGATCTGGGTAATGGACAGTGGTGATTTTTAGCTGGCATGAGCATTTGGTGGCTGCATTCCAGTTTGTCAAGACTCAGGAGTGTACTGGACTTTGGCTGCAGAATTGTTGTTTCTTTCCTCCTGTGGTTTGCATTTTTTTTTTTCTTTAAATCTGCTCATGCACTTTGATAAACCTTTCTCTTTGTACTCGCTGCAGGCAAGTTCTGTTGGAGTGGCCACATCTGAGAGTGCTGGCCCTGATTCTGGAGCTGAGGCTGCTGAGCTGGCGCCCGTGGATGTGGACATGAACCTGGTGGCAAACCTGCTCGAGTCCTACAGTGCCCAGGCTGGCCTGGCAGGACCCACCTCGAACATTTTACAGAGCCTGGGGGTGAATTTACCTGAGAACACAGAGCTCACTGGCAGCTGAGCAGCACAGGGGAGAGGCTTTGGGCAAGACATGGCTGCTGGGGAGATGAAGCACACACAGACAAGCAGGAGGTGGAAGAAGAGGCCAAAGGTTTTCATTTTGAGCATTCTGTTCATTATGTGTCACTGTAGCAGAGTGAATTGACCTGCAAAAGCTTTCTGTTTGGGCACAGTCTTGGGTGGAAATGAGATTTTCCTAGGGCTGACACAATTTCAGAAAAATGAAAAATGATGTTGAATGAATGACTCAAATGAGGTTTTCTTTTATTCCAAAATCTCTCTTCCATTATCCCAATCAGTGATCCAGTTTGCCACATTTCTAAAATGTCCTTTTACCCATTGCTAAGTGGGTTCAATATCTGGGAAGCAGTTCTTGTTCTGAAAATGCTGCTGCCTTCAGGGGCAGGTGGGGAAATAGCACATTGCAGGAAGAGTCTCAGGGATTTGGGAATGCTGGTGAAATGTTGGGCAGACATTTAATCCTTCCCCAGAGCACGATGCTGCATCGTGAGAGCTTGTGACAATTCTGTAAGAGCCTGTTTCTTATTAAGCACAAGGATTTGAAGAGTAATTGGAGCAAAAATGTAAATATTGGCCAGAAGTATTTTTAAAATTTATTTCAATAAAAATAGAAATACAACTTGATTAACACATTTTTTGAAGGTATGCATAACTTCCTCAGTGTAGTACCTGTTGTTGGAGTGAAAGCATTTTTAGAATTGTTCATTTTCTGAATGAATTCCATTATTGCTGAATGTTGGTGTCATGCCAGCAGTAGCTATATGTGAGCCCAAGCTGAACAGTTTGGGATTTTCTTCTGTGAAATTGTGGCTGGAAGGGATGTAGCACATTGCTTTCATGTGGAATAAAAACTCTATTTCAGATATGACACCTTTAGTTTCAACAAGATAAATTTGACATAAAATACATTGAAATTCTTGATACACAGACACCAACAGTGCAGTCCTGCTGGGTCCAAATAATTTCTTAATTTCCCTTTATTTATTTTTCATTCAGCAATTAATCAGTTGTCCTCCACTGATGCTGTGTCATTTACTTTGTCAGCAGTTCAGGGAGAGCAGTGGCAGGTTGGACAGGGATTAGAGATGGACAGCAAGAGCTGGGAAGTTCTAAAGAAGGTTCTGCCAAATTTCAAGGAATTTGGACTGCTAGGGAAAAGTTTCACCAGCCACAAGAGAGGGGTGAGTGTGCCTTGAGCTCTGATTGCAGCAGTCATTTCCAAGCAGGAAATGTGCTGCAAGTGGCCATTCTGAGTAGTGGGATCGGAACCTTCCCACCTGCAAGCAAAGTGTGCTGGACCTGCACCATAATACCTTTTATTTCAAGCTGAAGCCTCCCTAAGCTTTGAATTTGCCCATCTTTTCCAAGGCTTAGTTCCATTTTCCTGGTTTCACCAGTAGGGCAAGCAGCTGCAGCTTCACTTGTGAGTTCCTGTAGTAGTTTTCTCCCATAGGAGGCTGAGCCAGGACTCAGGAACAATTTCTGTCCTTCTCTTGGAACTTGATCTGGGTAATGGATAGTGGTGATGTAAAATGAAATACATAGAAATTCTTGATACACAGACACCAGCACTGCAGTCTTGCTTGGTCTAAATCAGCTTCTTAATTTCTCTTTATTTCTTTTTCATTCAGCAATTAATCAGTTGTCCTCCACTGATGCTGTGTCATTTACTTTGTCAGCAGTTCAGGGAGAGCAGTGGCAGGTTGGACAAGGATTAGAGATGGACAGCAAGATATGGGAGAAGTGAAGAAGGTTTTGCCAAATTTCAAGGAATTTGGACTGCTGAGAGGTGAGAGAGTCAGACAAATCTGTGGTGGAAAAACGGGGTTAACAGAGGTGTTTTGATTTAGACAAGGATAACGAGCAGTTAGTGGTGGAAAACAGAGTTACTTGAACCTTGGGAAGGGTTTGTGTTTGACCAGGGAAGGTAATTTACACTGGAAATACATAAAATTCTCACTGATGAGTTAGATCAAGTTTAGATACTTTAAAACATGACTGAGTTGAAGAACGTGATCCCATTTAGCTGCTGTGTGGCCTGTGCTGTACAAAAGGTCCAGACAGATGGAAGGACTCCTGCAGTGCATGAGGAGAACTCCTAAGCTGAGGTTCAGAACAAAGCTGCTCTTCTGCAAACACTCCAGCTGGTGTTGCTGCTTGGATAATCTGACTTTTCCATCAGTGGGGCTGGGATTTCTCTGGGGCTGTGCTCATCCCAACTATTTCCATTTCTTCAGCAGCTTCACAGTGGAGCCCTCCAGGGCTCTGGAAGTGCTCCCAGGAGAGTTTGCCATGGAAGAAGAAGCATTTCCATGCTGCCTCTTCCACTGCTTTGAGGTAACACACGAGGCATCTCCGCTTTGAATTGTGAGAGAGTTTTTAGTGAAGGAAGCCTGATGGAATTCATTAGGGAAGAGAGGTGTGGTGTGGTTCCCTTTCAATGGATTTCTGTCAAAGTGTATTCTGAAGTTGTTTAACTGTTGATTTTCCCTTATTGTCTGTGTTTAAACTGGGGAATCCCCATTCACCTGCAATGTTAAGGGTATCAACTGAAAGAAACCCTGCCTTGGCCATGATTTCAGGGATATCAGTGGATGGGGAATCCCCCTTTTCTTGCTGAAATAGATCAGGGAAGACCCTTTATGATGGGATTTTATTGGTTTGAAATGAGAGCAAACCTTCAATTTTCATCATCTTTCAGTTTAAATTGACAAGGAATCCTTGTTGTGCCTTAGTTTTAGGGTTTAAATTGGTAGAAACAACAACTTATTCCATCATTTGAGGGATTTATAGTGAGGGGCAAAAAAAGGGCTGGGAAAAAAAAGCGGCAAAAAAGGGTGGGGAAAAAAAAAGGCAAGAAAAAAGGGTGGCAAAAAAGTGCAGGATGGCAAAAGTGAAGGGGAAGGTGGCTAAAAATGGCAGGAAAAGAAGACAGGGGGAAAAGGGTGGAGGAAAAAAGGGGGCAAAAAGGCAGCAAAAAAGAGCAGGGGAAAAAATGGGGCAAAAAAAAAGGGGAAAAAAGGACAGCGGAAAAAGGGGGGAGGGGTGACAAAATGGAGATGGCATAATGGTGAAAAGGTGGTGTTTTAGAAGCAGGAAAGCTCTAGAAAGGTGAGGAGAAAAGGGTGCAAAACATGAGCAGAAAAAGAATGGAAAAATGTGAGGGAAAAAGAACGGGAATCCCAGAGACACCCCCACACCTCAGGCCCCCTCCCAAATCCCACAGCCCACCCCCACATACCCCCAGGAGAGCCCCTCCAAACCCCACAGACACCTGGGCCTGGATTCCCACAGGAACACTCGGGAACAACTCGGCTCCTGCAGCGGGATGGAAACACCCGCCAGGGCTGGCAGTGTGTGCCCACTGTGCTGCCAGGCTGGGAATCAGCTGGGTGGGGCCATGCCATGGCAAAGGGTCCTGAACAACTGCCAGGATTCTGGGCTCCAGCTGGAGCTGAGAGGCAAAGGGATTAGTCCAGGCAGGAGAACATCCCATCATGGGGAACTCCTGCAAAGCGTGGGTGTTGGGAACAGAGCCAAGGCTCCCAGATGGAAATTCACAAGGGCACCAGGCTGGGAAGTGAAGGGCAGAGCTGTTGTGAAGGTAAAGCTCAGTTCATTCAGAGGCATCACACAGGTCACTTGAGCACTGCTACAGGTGGGAAACAGAACATGAGAGATTTCCAGGAAAGCCTGTGTAGTTTGGTGGGGAAAAGGAGTCATGATACCCAATGGCTGCAGGGATGGTGATCTAAATTACTTCAGACCAGATTTCCTCTTTTATTAATTGGTGAGGCTTATTAACCTTACCTGCAGTTATAAGGCCAAGTAGATTTGGAATATATTCTAATTTAATCTAGCTGTCCTCTGTGCTGCATACTCACAGCAGCCGTATTTAATTCATATGATGTGTGAATTTGCTTCTGTCCCTATCCCAAATGTCAGCCTTCCTGGTCTCTCAGCTTCTTTTTAAAATGCTGGTAAATCTTCTGTGTCCCTCTGCAGTATTTCCACAGATAGAAACAGTGGAACTCTATCTAAAGGATGCTACCTACTGCTGAGCACAGGAACCAGTGGATGTTATATCAGCTAGATTGAAAAGTGACCAAGATTTAGATGGGAGCTGAAGGCTGGGGCAGCTCACTTTGTTCAAGCAGTGCCTCAGACTGAATACAGGAATTGTACCTGTGCAATTACTGCAGGTAATTGCTGCAGCTGCCAGAGGTGAGCTGCTCGTGGTTCCTTCACAAAAGTTTACTGACAAATGACTTTTACAAGGTCAGGTTGTCAGGGCATTCCATGTCCTCTCAGGCCAAACATCAGGCTCAGTGTGTGTCCACAATGTCTTGGAGCTTGCTTAAAGGTGAAACAATTTCTTCATGCAAGAACTGTAATGCTGAAGTCAGACTTTTTGCCATCCACAGTGATGGATAGCAAAGTGTGGCATTTGCATACAGCAGCAGAGCAGACCAGGTGATGGGAGAGCATGTGGTGAATTTTCTACCCACATTTTTCCAGATAAGATTTTTCTGAGTCATGCCTTAAGTTTTAGCTTTTATATTTTTCAGATTCTGTGAATCTTTAATGCTTTAGTGTGTAGTTCTGAGTGTCACACTAAGGGATGGTGAGCTCTCTTCACAGAGCAGGGAGACAAAACAATTCCTGCTCTAGCTTGGGACCAAGGACAACCAATACAAGTTTCAGACCCAAAAGCATAAACAAGGGTGAATTGAAAAGAGAAAAACAAGGAGTATGAAACTTCATAACCTGAAGCTGTAATTTGACTGCAATATGCAAATGGACCAGAACTGACAAAAGTGAGAGGCCCCGTGAGCACTCGTGCATTTTGTGTCCATTTTGGTTCACCTTGGGTGCAGCCCTGGCTGGGCTCTTGTGCTGCCCAAGGTGGATCCATGGAGCCCTTTCAATAAATCCCTGCTTTATTCTTTAACTCTGTCCAGCCTCTGCTCTAGGTCAGCCTTCTCAAGGCATCATGAGCAGTCAGAGATCAAACGAGTTGTGTGTCATGGTCTGAGGTTGGCACAATGCCAGTGCTTACATGAAAATGCACTTTCCCTAGTGGCTTCTGTGAGATGTGATCAGGAACAGAGCAAAGCAGGCTCCAACTCAGGAATAAAGGAAACAAACTTTATTAACTACAACATCTAAAAAGGAACAGACACAAAACTAAGAATGAAAACCCTCCAAATACATTCCTCCTCCTCCATCTTCCTCTCCACAGAAGACGAGGGCATCCCACACCCTCCTCAGCCGTCTCTGTTCACGCCACTGCTTCACTCTTGGCTCCAAGGCATTGCCTCCCCCTGAATGCAGTGTCTGTGTCACAGGAAAAACACGGGTCTGTCCACGGCATACAAGAAAAGAGTCCAGCCGAGGCCACTCCATCGTCTCCTCCCACTTCTTCAGACATCTCTCACAGGCACCAACTTTCATCACACCTGCTCAACTCTCTCTCTCTCTCTCTCTCTGTCTCTATCTCCCAGGGGGTAGGAGGGGGGCGATGCTTCTCAGGCCTCCTCCACCCTTCCATCCTGCAGGAGCCTTCACCCCCCTCCTCTGCCCAGGTCTCCACTACCTCACCCGGCCGTGTGGCTTCCC